GTGGGCTGCATCCTGGCAGAGATGCTCTCCAACCGGCCCATCTTCCCCGGCAAGCACTACCTGGACCAGCTCAACCACATCCTGGGTGAGGGGGCGGGGCATCTTGGGCCTGGGAGGCAGGGCTACTAGAGGACCCAGAGTGGCAACTGGATGCTGCAGTCGGGGGGTGGGGCTGCCGTGGAGCGGGAGGAATATCTCTCCGGAAGGGAGGGGCCTCGGGCTGTGTGGTATCAGGGCGGGGCCTAGGCTAGCCCCTCCCCTCTCCATCCTGACTCCTCCCCCTGTGCAGGGATCCTGGGGTCCCCCTCGCAGGATGACCTGAACTGCATCATCAACATGAAGGCACGGAATTACCTGCAGTCGCTGCCCCAGAAGGCCAAGGTGCCCTGGCCCAAGCTGTTCCCCAAGGCCGACCCCAAAGGTGAGGATCTGGCTCTGGGGGGTCCCCTGCCGTGCCCTGGGGCTCCCCCGGATCCCATCTTCTCCTGGGAGCCCCCTGGAGGCTGCCCCTTCACTGCCCCTCCTCTCGTCCCTCCCGCAGCCCTCGACCTGCTGGACAAGATGTTGACCTTTAACCCCAACAAGCGCATCACTGTGGAGGAGTCGCTGGCTCACCCCTACCTGGAGCAGTACTACGATCCCTCGGACGAGGTGGGGGTCCCCGGACGCCTGGGTCCCCTCCCCAGAGCTGGGAGGAATGGGCTCTGGTGGATTAGAGCAGGGGGGCTGGGAGCCAGGACGCCTGGGTTCTCTCTGTGGCGCAGGGAGGGGAGTGGGGGCTGGGAGCCAGGACTCCTGGGTTCTCTCCCTGGCGCAGGGAGGGGAGTGGGGGGCTGGGAGCCAGGACTCCTGGGTTCTCTCCGTGGCGCAGGGAGGGGAGTGGGGGGCTGGGAGCCAGGACTCCTGGGTTCTCTCTGTGGCGCAGGGAGGGAAGTGGGCTTCTCTCCCCAGCGCTGGAACTCACTGTCCCCTGCTCTCTTTGCAGCCGGTGGCCGAAGAGCCCTTCACTTTCGACATGGAGCTGGACGACCTGCCCAAGGAGAAGCTGAAGGAGCTGATCTTCGAGGAGACGGCGCGGTTCCAGCCGGGCTACCAGGGGCCGTGAGCGCTGGTCAGTGCCTCCTTCCGCCCCAGGGGGCCAGGACATGGGGCCGTTCTCCAGGGGGCGCCAGCTCCCATCGGCCCCGGCGGGGACTGGCTGGCTCGGGGCTGGGACATGGGGCCGTTCCCCTCCAGGGGGCGCCAGCTCTCATCGGCCCCGGCAGGGGACTGGCTGGCTCGGGGGTCTCACTGCCTCTCTCTTTTCTCTCCCCTCCCCCCCTCCAGGTCCGTCACGCTCCAGCCTAGACCTGCCTCCCTCTGAGAAGGTTTTGACCTGGCCCCTGCGCCCGGAGCGCCCCTCGGACTCTGATTTGGGGGGCTGGGGGGCCCCGCCCGAGAGGGCCAGCCCTGCCATCGTGCTGTATAACTGCTTCGCAATGTGGCTGTGACTCCTAAACCCCCCCACGCTGTGCCTCTGGGGGGGCCTGGCAGGGGGGCCCAGTGGGGGAATCTCTCCTGCTTCGTATCTAATGAGTTAACAATTGTAATTAGCCCCTGCCGTGCTGCTGGGAATGTGGGGGTGGGCTGGGGGGCCGGGGTACTCCCCTAGGAGTTCCTATTGCCCCCCAGTTCCTGTCTGTCTCATGGGGGGGTTAGAGCCCGCCCAGCTAACATGTGAGGGGTCCAGCCCCCTCCCCTTCCTGCCCTGCCTGCTCTAGTCTGGCAGGGAGGGGGGAGGATTTCTACTGCCCCCCCCCTGGGGGGGGGG